GGTCTCTTTCAACCCAAACTGTTCTATGATTCTACTGTATTCTAGTCTTAAAGGAGCATTTTACTTCCCACTGAGTCCTAGTATTTCACTGACTGAAGAATCACTTAGTTGGAAAAGACTGTAACTCATTTGAGAAATTGAATGTTATTAGCATAGTGTTCCAGGCAAGGCTTGTGATTTCTAATGGAACTTGTTTTAGCATAAATTTACCAGCAGCCTTCTGTGTAGTGAAATGATGCAACGTGCTTCACTATAGAGTTCTTAATGTATTCTAATGAGCAGATGCTAACAAATTATATGTATGCTATACATATAATGCTGAGAATCTTTCTTTGAACTTCTAATGTTTTTCAGGAAGTTCTTACAGCTTTGGAGAGTTTTCGTTGTTACCACCATATATGGCAGAGGGACAAGGAGGAAACCATTGATAAATTAATGATGGGAAACCCATCACTCTCTGAAGTTGAATCTGAAATTCTGCATTTCCAAGACTTGGAGCTGAAAATCAATTCTGAGCCTGAATATATCTGCGTGGGAGCTATTGCATTGTACACTGGTAGAGCTCAGATTTCCACTTCTCTCTTGAGACATATACTTTCTGACTCCTGTAGGAAGGAGAGATGATGCTTAGTTTTGGATGGATGAACTAGGTTAAAGATGGAAAGGAGAAAAAGAGAATGTCTGTTTGCTGTTTTGTCTGTAAATGCATGCAAACAAAACACTAATGCAAGGGTATCTGTGAGGCTCAGCTGGAGTTTCTTCCCCCACCTGGATACTACTTACTTACGGGGTTGATGGTAGATGGTAGATGGTAGAACTAGGCAAAGAAGCTGGCTGTTGAAACTTAATGGAGGTGAGGTAGTTCTGATACTTAATAAATAAAAAAGACCATCAGGTGTGAGAGCTAAGCATGGGAAGAGGCATTGTGTAAAAAGGAAGACACACAAGTGAAATCTGCACAGGGAATGAATAGGTAAACAGGGTTGAAATTATCCAGATCAAATTTTATGTAATGATTGTGTTGGTATTGATTTTTAACTCTTCTGTTGAGAACTGTGAGGAAGAAATTTGAATTTAATGACAGAGCTTTAGAGAAATGGACTGGATTGCTGCAAGATTGGACAGCAACTCAGCAAGACTTCAATTTTCTCTCTAAATGTTTGTCACTTCGTTCCACAGATGCTACAGATAAAACTTAGAAAAATTAAATGGTTGTTGGACCCTTTGGTGTCATTAAATGTCAGATCAAACTCTGTTTCTTCAGCTTCCATAATCAGACTTATTCCCCCCCATATTATTTTTTTTTAAAGATTAATTTTTGAAAAAAATTTAGACTTAGATAAAAACATTAAACAATTTATTAGTGATGTGTAGGACAGAAATGTGTGTAATGATAGACGAACAAGATAACAAATGTGGAGTCCAGCCTCATCTTTCCAGTAGGAAAGGTGATATATTCTGAGAAGATTAGGAGGAAAACAATCCTGAATTGGAAGCAATCCTATAAGCCACTCAAAGGTGTAAATATGATCTAATCTTCTCTGTACATGGATGGTTAGACTGAAAAAACAGAATTTGGACTGAAGAGAACACGCATTGAAAAAAGATTAAAAGTACATCTTAAAAAATATCTACAATATCTAAATATCTATTCATTGTTCAATGTTTTTAGCTGATCTGAAGCTAGCACTGACAGCGGAAACCAAAGCCTGGATGACTTTGCTGGGGTGTCATTGTAATAAGAAGTACCGAACAGAGATGGAAGCAATTTTCACTTTTATAGAGGAAACTGGCAAGAAGTTAAATCGCCGCATCAGGGATCTGGATGATATAAGAATAGTCATGTCAGCTTTAAAAGAGATCAGAGAACTACAGATCTCCATAGACTATCAAGTTGGGCCCATTGAGGTAGTCGACAGGAATGTTGCATGTATGGGTACTGTTTCAACAGAGCAATTATTTTCTTGGGTAAAGCTTAACAGTGCACTTTGAAAATGTATGATTAATATGTGTTAAATGTTGGGTAGCAGACCTGTTGTGTTCCTGTAAAGCTTTTTTCGTGGAACTCTGATTTGGACAAATGTCAACTTGTTGAGGTGATAGGTGGTTTAGTGAATAGTGCAGAAATTGAGTGATTTAGGTAAGAAGAAGATGAGAATACAGATATTTAATGCAAGAAAGCTTTCGATACTTTGTGGAAGAAGTCTGTATATGAAAAGCATTGATTTTGTTCTCTCTCTTTTTTTTTAGCTTAGCCTACAGAAGAGGAGAAAGCTAATGTTAGGCAGATTATATGAGAATGCATGAGAGCGATTGATTTATCAGCTATATCCTGGGATGAAATAAACATATATAGCATGGATCAGAAAAATATTCTCATTCAAATGAAACTAAAACCTGTAGACTTAAGTAGTACTTAATGGCAAATAGTTTTTTAGAGAGGCAGATTGCACTAGGGCAAATAATCTATCAGAAAGCAGAATGCTATGTGAAAGGTAAGGACTTAAGGAGAACTAGCTAGTTTTTATTTTGATGTTTCTTCCAGTTTGGTATTGGTTTGCCAGATTGTGATAATTGCAAAAAACCACAGATTTTCTAACAAAAAATTCTCTTTTCTTAAAAATTTAAAATGTTAGCATACATCTGTATGTAAAATTAACTTCAGTAACCATTCTGTATATCTTGATCCAAACTTCTGTCAGGAATCCTATGCTATGTTAAACAAATATGATCTACTTGTGGCCAAGGAAGAGACAGAGAAGGTGGACACTTTGCACTACACTTGGGAAAAACTGCTAGTCCGTGCAAACGAAGTACAAAATGAGCTTGTTGCTTTGCAGCCAAACTTCAGAGGAGAGCTTATTAGCACTGTGAAGACTTTTATTGAAGACTGTGCACAGTTCTATTCTGATTATGATCAGGCAAGTGTTTGTGGTGTATTGTATTAGAGGAGTTTTTGAGCAGCAGTGGGAGCATGGAAAGATTGTGGAGTTGATGGGATGTGCCTCTACTGTCTGAAGAATATGTTTATTCTTGTAAATGTGGTATTTGAGTTTCAGTGCAGGTCAGGCTTTGGTTATTTTTTGTATATGACTAAAGTGTGTAATGCTGGTAATCAGCTCTTAAAGATTAAGGCTTGAGACATTTAGGGTTTATGATAGACAGCTGGTTAGCATGAGCAAATGTGAAAATTGGGAGTAATCAGAAATTATGTTAGACTCTAAGAAGTGTTTTCTGTTGTTGGATATAAGTACAAATGACTTAAACTCTTACATTTTTTCTCAGTAAAATATAAATGAGTCAAGCTGAACCAGTCTTGTATCATCGTCTAAGTAATGTTGATTTTTATTTGAAACTTTATTTGAAAAGTAAAAACTTACCATTGCCTAAGTTTTTACACTATTATGAAAACTTCTGTATTAAAAAGACAATTGCCGCCTTTGTGGTGGGTTTTTTTGTGTTTGGTTTTTTTGATGAAGTACTTGTTCAAGTAGGTAACTGATCTTTTGGTTCAGTTGTCATCTGATGGGGTGGAATCCTGCAGCTGCAAAAAAGTTTGAGGTTAGCATTTAGAAGATGCTGATTGGCAATATGTTGTGGCTATTTTCACCCTCTAAATTCACTATTAAATTTCTTTTTTTTTTTTTTTTTTAGAATGGGCCTATGGTGGTTGGTTTAGAGCCTCAGGAAGCCAGTGACAGGCTTACTATGTTTCAGGTACTGTTAATTCTAAGACATTTCTTAATACTTATTGCAAGAAGGCTCTGAGAATGAGTCAGACTAGTTGTACTAATTTTCATTGATACATGGGGTTACTGATTGGGCAAAATGTGTTTTAACGTAATAAAAGCTAAGTTGGTATGTTTTCTATGCATTTGCGAGGAATGCTGGTTAAAATGAGATTTATTTTTTTTTATGAGCTAAAAGAAAGGCTGCATGAGTAATAATTACTAGATTCAAGTATCCTGATGAGACCCTACTCTACGTTTAGTGTATTTGGTATAGGCTGTTCTTGTGTTCATTATTGTGTCTTTTCTTCATGAATACAATTCTGCCCAATCTTCTTCACCTCCTCACTTTAAAAAAAAATATTAAAAATTTCTGTTTAAACTGACTATGCTGTTGAAATGTTTCTTTGTACCATGCTTAATTTCTCTTCCTGTAATGATGACTTCTAATGGTTTTCCTTTTTTCATAGTGCTATTCATTTGGCTTCCTACTATGTTCCCTCAGATTGCAATTGACAATTAAATTTTGTTTTATTTTGCTGCTTAAACAGTAATAATTCTTATTTCATCCCTTCAATAAAAGAATTGCACAGCGTACTAGAGAGGTAGAATTTGCTGCATTGACCTTTCTTTGCTTTGCATTTCATGCTCTACCTCTTTCAAGTGCAAGCTTAGCATTTATTGTTCTATCACTGTGCCACATGGAGTAAATGGCCTCCCTGTCAACTTCTAAAGATATGCCTCCAAGCTAACTAAAAGTTCCTTTTCTCATGAAAATTGTTAACAAAACTGTTGGAAGTCTTAAGGTGTTAGTATCTTCTGTATATCTTTCTAGTATTTACTAGATTTTAATCACTAATGCAGCTCTAAGCATAATGCCAGATCTTGAATATTTAGTTATTTAATTTTATTTAATTTGATCTTTTTCTTTTTCTTTCTTAGAATCGATTTGATAATCTTTTTCGGAAATATATTACTTATACTGGTGGGGAAGACCTTTTTGGTTTGCCTGTTACTCGGTATCCTCAGCTGCTTGAAATAAAGAAGCAACTGAATCTGTTACAGAAACTCTATAATCTATATAACAATGTCATTGGCACAGTCAGTGGCTACTATGATATTCTTTGGTCAGAATTAGACACTGGAAAAATTAACAGTGAACTTCTGGATTTTCAGAACAGGTGAGAAACTACTGCTGTGGTAAAGAAGCCTAAAATAATTTTGTTACTTCTTAGGTATGATCACAATTGGTTAGCAACAATAATCATATCTGAACATGTATTTGTTCATTGAAACATGACAAATGCGAATTTTAATTGAAAAAATACATACATTACCAACTTCATAAAATAAAGGAGACAGTTTAGACTCTAAATGTTGAGAATTATTGTTTGTTAGAGAGCTTCTTGGTTAACTTTTTTTGGATGAGAGTGGTATATATGTTAAAATTGCTATTTATTTTGTTCATGAAGGGAAATTTCGTTTCTTTGTTGTATTATTATTCATGAGAGACAGATTCACCCTAGATGTCTAAGGCAAGTTAGTAAATCGCTGAATAGTTTTCCTACAAAATGGGATATATTGCATGCATAGCACCTGAACTTTTCATCACATCAGGAATCAAATGATTTAAAGAATTAAACCTGCATGTTCTGAGGAATGGGGGTTTTTCTAGAGTACAGAGCAGTGCATATCATGAGCCTCATCAAAAGATGAAATCAAGATGTAAAGCTGTTCAATTGTTTTTGAAGATCTCTTGGACAAAGTGTATTAGAATTATGCAGCTGCTCTCCTTAAAGAGACCCAATAGGTGCCTGTACAACTATCAGTCAATGAAATAGACTGGAAACAGATTTTCTCACATGCAGAATCACATACAGAATCTTCAAAATACAGGTAACCTGAGTTTGTAAGGTATGTGGTCTGCTGTTAAAACCATACATTGTGGTTAAATGCGTAACATAAAGAATATTTAAAACTGTTTGAAAAATCTTGCATTATTTCTATGTAGATGCCGTAAGCTTCCTCGTGGTGTAAAAGAATGGCAAGCCTTTTTTGACCTAAAGAAGACCATTGAGGACTTCAGTGAATGTTGTCCATTGCTTGAGCGTATGTCAAGTAAAGCAATGATGCCTCGGCACTGGAAACAGATTACAGATCTCACTGAACACAACTTTGATGTGGAAAGTGAAACATTCAAACTGAGGAATATAATGGAAGCTCCACTATTACGATATAAAGAGGAAATCGAGGTATTGTGAAGGAAGAGAAATGGATGCATAAAGCAAAACAATTCTGCTCGAATAATATATGAGTAAGAGTAGTAAGAAGGAAAACACAATATTCCTAAAGAAAGAACAGAGAAATGGGCTATCACTTCAGCTTTCTGTATAAAGTAATTACATAAATATGTTGTGGTGTCAACTCCTCTTTTTAAATCATGCAGCTTGGCCCAGTAGTTAATCTGTGAGGGTGTCTTGCTTTGCAGCATTAAAGATATGACAAGTAATTGCTGTATTATTCTTTTTTTCCCCCCAAAGCTGGCTATATCGTGATATGGTATACAGATTATTAGCTATGGTGTTTGTATGTCTGTAGATCCTTCCACCTGATCAATGGTTGCTCCTCAGCCTTGTTAGGGTTGAAGGAAATATGTGTTAGATTTGTATACTGGAGGCTTGAACCATTCATGGCTTGTTTTGACATCCTATTTATTTAAAAGGATATCTGCATAAGTGCTGTGAAGGAGAGAGACATTGAGCAGAAGTTAAAACAAGTGATAGCTGAATGGGACAACAAAACATTTATCTTCACAAACTTTAAAACCCGCGGGGAACTTCTTTTAAGAGGTGACAGCACATCAGAAACAATTGCTACCATGGAGGACAGCTTGATGATTCTTGGCTCTCTCATGAGTAACAGGTAACAGGAAAAGGGGAGGGGGGAAGATAAAAATAATCAGCAAGAGGCTTTGTTTTATTAAGCAAATCTATCTTTCACAGAGGAGAAGGAAAACAAACATCTAGATAAAAACTAAGAGCTTGCTTGTCCTTGAACTGTTCATGGGCTAGTTCTTATTCTCTGTATCCCTCCAATAAGTTCTTTTGAAAGCATGTGGATACAGTTCAGGCTTCCTGAATAACCAGCTGGACAGTTTTCATTGATGCAAGAAAGTGGCAACGAGCATAAAGGGGAACACTGCCTGGTTGTGGCAGGCATACTGCGGGCATTACATGCACTGCCTACTCTGCCCCCTGTGATAGGTCACTGCCTCATCCTGAAGGTGCTGAAAATCCCAGTTAAAAGGAGGTTCAGTTTGTCTGGTTTTACATGCCAAAGCCCACAGATAACGAACAATAAGGAACATAGAACCTGATCATCAGGCAGATGTTCAAAAGCAAGAGTTCAGTTGATAAGGACCTCTGGGAGTCTTGCAGCTTTCAAGGTGTTGCATAGTCCCTTTTTGAAACCACTTTACCTTGGAGTGAATCTGAAATCTTGCTCCTGTTCAGTTTCTGTTGGATCAGAGCTGTGCTATGCGCCATGTGTACAAAAGGAGCAAGTTAGAGCTTATTTGGTTTATAGCTCCTAACTATCTGAATTGAGTCAAGTATAGGTTTTTATGCTTTCACTTGACAAAAGTACAAGCAGCAAAATTATTCCTAATCCTTATGCGTAATGTGCTGGCTTTCCTTCTTGAGAGAAACAAGAGACTTGTTTCGTTCTTGAAATAAAGCAAATGTCATCTTTTTATTTTAGATACAACACACCCTTCAAGACACAGATTCAGAAATGGGTGCACTATCTTTCCAATACAACAGATATCACTGAGAACTGGATGACTGTGCAGAACTTGTGGATTTATCTAGAAGCTGTTTTTGTTGGTGGTGACATAGCAAAGCAGCTTCCAAAGGTTTCAGACATGCCTTTTTTTTTTGTTTTCTACATTTTAAGAACAAAAAATTTTAAGAACAAAACTTAACCATGATGTCATAATTGATACAGTAATATAAACTTCAGTTTTTAGTACAAAACTAGTCATGCTAAGAAATCAGGTAGATAATGCCAACAGAAGTATTGTGTTAGAAAGAATAATAAAATTGAGTGAGCTAGTTGATCTTTTTATTTCTAGATTGTAAAATTGTTAACCAATATGTGTTTAAGTAGTGCCTAGTAGTAGCCTAGCTTAGGTAGGCTAGCTTAGTAGTACCTACCAGTAGCCTAGTAGTAGCTAGGAATCCGTATCTTAAACTTTCCTACATAGTTTTCCAAATTAAAAATTAACTTTGGCTTTTAGAAAAACTTCAAATTTGAAGCATGCAATTCAAGCACAATGAGTTTTCTGTCTTTTTCTCTAAAAATGATTGAAAGAGAAAGTAGAGAGCAAGCTTCACAGTCAAGTATAAAATCAGCTGTATTGTGTAAGCAGAAAGATTTGTGTTTTTCTAAAATGAAAAATCTTTAGAAGTTGGACATGGGATTACTAGTGAGAAGATTATTGGTGAGATTACTGGGTGCCAATTCTGCAAGCAAGTGCTTTTTCCCTCTTCTCTCTTCATTCCTCCATCTCTTCCCTTCCGCATTCATTGCCATGTTTCAACAGGAAGCAAAGCGTTTCTCTAACATTGATAAATCCTGGGTGAGGATCATGACCCGAGCTCATGAAACACCAAATGTTGTTCAGTGCTGCATTGGAGATGAAATCATGGGACAGTTACTACCGCATTTACTAGAACAGCTTGAAATCTGTCAGAAATCACTCACAGGGTAAGATTACTACAGAACCACCATCTTGGGTAGATGGTTGTGATTTGTGTAACTAGGCGAAGAGCAGTTGTTTGAGTACTGTCCCATGGACTTTGCAAAGGCCGTGTTCTTATTCTACTATGAATTCAGTTGAACTGAGCAAACTAGTTAGCAGGATGATACAACACTTCCAAAGAAATTGCTAGCAACTCACTCATCCGTATTTGATTTGTGACTAAGCTGTCACTCACTGTCTAGCTCTGTGAAACCAAAGGTTTTTTCAGCCTAGTTTCAATCTAGAAGGCAGGCTAGATCTGCATGGGTCTCTATTCAGACCCTTCACGAATCTGGGAGAAATTCAGCATGAGAGACCTAAATAGCAAGTAACAGACTTAATGTAAAAACATTTTCTTTTGGTTTACTTTCTTTTCTTTTTACTAGTGCTTACATGACAGCAAATAATAAAAGGTTTCCATGAAATGATTTCTGATGCTAAAACAATAGCTTTAAAAGTAGGTGCTTAACATGAAGTTATGATGGATAAGGATTGTTGTCATTGCCACTGCTAAAAATTGCGATGATACGTTGTGAGAAATGCCACCTTTAGAGAGGAAAGGATGTGTAAATTAACCTAATGCACTTACCATCTACTCCCCCCTCCATTTTTGTAAAAAAATGCAGGTACCTGGAGAAAAAGCGGCTCCTATTTCCACGATTCTTCTTTGTATCAGATCCTGCTCTCTTAGAAATTCTTGGCCAGGCATCAGACTCTCACAATGTACAGGCACATCTGCTGAATGTCTTCGACAACGTTAAAACTGTCAGGTTCCATGAAAGGGTATGTACTACCCACACCTCAATGTTACATTATTTGAAATTAACAAGGTGTGATACTTAAAGAAAGCTACCTGGGTGCATAGAGCATTCAACAGTTTTACCAAGCTCATCAACAATTTGATGCTGCGTAGGCATTCTTCATTTAAGATTTAGTTTCATATCCTTGTTTATGTAACAGGAAACGCTACATAGAATAGCAAAACAAACAAAAATTTGCACCAGTGCTTAAGTTTCAGAATGAAACAGTAAGGTACTGAACTGTCTTCTGTGGCTTAATATGGGGTAGCATCCTGTCAGATAAGCTTCTGATCCTTTATGAACATATTTGTGTCTTTAGATTGCCTATATTTGTACTTTTTCATTAATTTTTTTAATTGTAAGAAAAAGTGTAGCTAGTCTCTCACCTGTTTCTGAGTTATCCTTAATATCCATTCAAACATACTGTTTGAAGAACAATTTTCTTATACCACTTACAAGGACAGATAGCAACAATTTTTTTCCCTGTGTATGTATATGCTTTCTTAGAAATTCACTACCTCCCCATGCATTTGAAATTCATTTGGTTGACCATGTTTCTTAACATTTGTGTTTCCTTTATTTTTGATTGTAAGGCTGTAAATATAAGGAAGAAATTTTTCACCATGAGGCACAGGTTGCCCAGAGCGGTGATAGATGCCCCATCCCTGTAAATATTCAAGGTCAGGCTGGACGGGGCTTTGGGCAACCTGATCTAGTTGCAGATGTCCCTGCTCATTGCAGGGGGATTGGACTAGATGATCTTAAAAAATCCCTTCCAACCCAAACTATTCTATGGATTTATGATGTTTTGTCAGGATGTTAAACCACCTGTCATGGGGAAAGGTTTCCTTTATTGTGACTGGGAAGTGGATGTTGTCATTGAAACTTAAGTGAAATTCAGGAATTGTCAGTGTATTGGGCTTTGTCTCCTTGTTCATATGAAAGTGTTTTGTTTAAAGCCATTCTGCACACCAAAAGTAAGGATTTAATTGTTTTTATAGTTCACTTAACAGGTTGGTATCATTTATTAGTTACCTAAATAAGTTTAATGGAGTGATGGTGGGGAAAATCAGGCAGTTATGGTAAAGGTAACAATAAATCTATAAACACAAAATGTTCTTGCTTTGCTTTTTTTAGATATATGATTGTATATTGTCGATTAGTTCACAAGAGGGCGAGACTGTAGAGCTGACTAGACCTGTAATGGCTGAAGGTAACGTGGAAGTTTGGCTCAATTCTCTGTTGAAGGAATCCCAGCTGTCACTGCATCATGTTATTCGCCAGGCAGCTGCGCACATCCAGGAAACTAGTTTCCAGCTGACTGAATTTCTTTCTACTTACCCAGCTCAGGTAATATCATTGTTAAATCAATGAAGAATTATTCACAGATATGTAGCACATTGATGTTTTGTTGTTCTTTGCAATCAGAATTGCAGCCAGTGTTATAAATGCAAAACTGATTTAAATTTATCTTGATCACCTCATTCCTTTAAGTTATACTTTATATATCTGAAATCAAAAGAAGAAAACTTACCCTGAAGCTCTGGTTAAAAAATAATGCTGAATGCAATAAATTAATGCAATGGAGTTAACACTGTTTCTTTACAAGCTTAATACTTGACTACTGAAGGAAAAGTAGTAAAGTTGTATGTTATATATATGTTCAGGAAAAGACGATATATTGCTAAAGATTTGGAGGTGAGGGTAGTGCTGAGGGAAAATTATTTTCTTAGTATAAGCTTCTTCACTTGTGATCAGAAATGTTGTTAGGTAGTAAAGAGTTTGTGACATTGATTTTTTTTTTAAATTGAAGCATTAATTATTCACTGATTAGTTATTAATTAATCATATAAAGTACATTAATTATGTATGGTATTTATATATGTGTTGTATCAGCAGTGCATGGTAGATAGTATCTACAAGACTGAAGTGTGGACTTAACTATGTGTTTATGAGTGGAGTTGGAACACAAAAGAAATGCATGGGTTGAATGACCTCTATATGGATGCATGAAAAAATAATTTTATACAAATAGTAGCAGAACCATTTCTTTAGTTTATCTGTGTCTGTGAATGTAGATTTTAGGTGAAAGAGAAAAGATTATGAAGCATATACTTTTATGTTTCCTAAGGTTGGGTTGTTGGGAATCCAAATGATTTGGACAAGAGACTCAGAAGCAGCTTTGACTAATGCTAGGTATGATAAAAAAATTATGCGAAAGACAAACCAGTTTTTCCTGGATCTTCTAAATATGCTGATAGATACAACAACAAAAGACCTTAGCCCAGTCGAACGAGTTAAATATGAGACATTAATCACTATTCATGTGCATCAGAGGGACATTTTTGACGGTCTGGTAAGTACTGAAAAGTTTACAATGAGTTATGAGGTGGTTTCCACATAAAACAATGTGAAAGGACAAGAAGAAAATATTACTATACCTATGAACTCCTGCCATGTAAGCTAAACATTTAATTTCAGGACTGTCATGATTATGTGACACAGAATATTATAAAAATGCTGATGTTGCATCAATCCGTGTCTTAGTTTCCCTTTAAGTAATTCAGTGTTTTTTCCTCCCACAAGCAATAGCAGAATTTTATAATGCTTTGTGTTGGCCCACTTAAGTTAGATGCCTCTGTTGCATGATCAGGTAGGGACTTCTTTTTCCTCATACATTGTGTTGAAAGTAATTGTCCTTTCTCTGGACTACATTATGAGTTTCAAGGAGTAAATAGAATCCATGTAGAGTTATAGTACAGGAAAGAAGTTGTTTGAAGCTGCTATGCCCTTTTTTCTAGTTTTAATAGCATACTTAATTATTACATAAGGTTTTATTTATTGACTTCACACCTTCTTATGCTGCCACAGCAGTAAAGTATAAGTTTTAGATACAGTCTGCAAAGCATCTTTTTCAATCCTGTTTTAATATGCAGTTGGTCAACTTTGAATTACTTGCCGCTCTGTTGAATTTCTGAACTAATATCTGCACCATGACATTGTCTTGAAATACCTTTTTTTCCAATATGCATTTGGTTTTACACAATGGTCATGACTTTTTTTAAAATCAAATATCAAATTGCGTGCTTCCTACTCATATGTCAAAGTAAAATGGTGGAGCTGAGTAAAAGAAATGGCAGTTTTAATGTTAACTGAACTTAATGACTTTTGTTGGAGGCTTATACTGTGTTTGTATTTATAATTTTGACACACTCGTCTAAAGCCTGAAGTTCCCTTGCCTTAGTATAGGCTTCAGGGACACCAATAACTCATTAGGAATTTTTGTGGTAAAAATCAAGATAGGATCTCCACTATTCTTGTGTTACTAGCTGTTCTTTATGCCTTTCCTTGTGATTGCAGTGCTGCCTTTACAGTACTACTTACATGAGGTAATATAAATGCAGAAGTAGATGTTAACCATGAATACCACAGCCTTTTTTTCCCCCTCTTTTCTTAGTGTTGCATGCATATCAAGAGCCCTACAGACTTCGAGTGGCTGAAACAGTGTAGATTTTATTTTAATGAAGACTCTGATAAAATGATGATTAAGATCACAGATGTGGGTTTCACATACCAGAATGAATTCTTGGGCTGTACTGACAGGCTTGTCATAACGCCTCTTACAGACAGGTGAAAAAGACTGATTTTATTCCTTTATTCTTTGACACCAAATCTAGGCGCTTACAAGGGCAATTTAGTCATTCCTATTGGATGCAAAATAGATCTCTGTATAGTTTATCTTTCACAGTCTTTTCAAAGTCAATAATTTTACATGGAATATGTAACTATTTTTGTTTCTGTGACTTACAATATGAATAACTTCCAGATTAATTTCTGTCACATACTTGCGTGATCCACATATATATCATAAAAGGGACTCTGATTCTCATGTATGTGAGCCTAGTATAGCTTAGGATCAGGTATATCCATACAATACAATATGCGGAGAGAGATACAGGACAAAAATAAGTGTTTACAGGCAAGCTAAAGAAAACAGCTAAGGAATAATGGACAGGAAAACAATTTTATTCATCTACAGTAGATTGAAGATCTTTGATCTAGAAGGATGTTGAAAGAATTGCAGTCCTATTAACAGAGACATTTACCTACCTAACTGGAATAACAGCTTTATAAGGTATCATTGGCAAAATAAGGGCATTGGGTAGGTTTGTAGGGTTTGTTTTTGGTTTTGTGTGTTGATGGTTTTTTTTTTTTAACTATTCCATACAGTAAATTCTAGTGCTTCTCTTTAGATATAATTGTTAGCTGGTGTTTTACTATGTTACACATAGAAGTTTCATTTATGAAAACGGGATGCACTGTATGATCAAATTTTAAAGGTGGATGAGAAGGGAAAGGCTAGCTGTCTTTCATTATTGTACTCCACAGTACAATGTAGTTCAGAACTACTTCTGTTAAAGTAATTCAGGAACTAAGCTAACCAAACTAGATGAGGCAGCATCTCTGTATCTGCTTTCTTCCCTTCTTGTGATCTTTCAGATTATTGATTATTGAGGATTATCTGTTCTGCTTCATGCATGAGATGAACCTTAATATTACCTGCATCTGAGTGAAGGGTTTTCCTTCTTACTGATTTAAATTGTAATTAGAGGCTTATCATTTCATCAGTTTCCTTCTCTCCTTAAATCAGACCTTCCTCATGTAACACACTTGAGTAAGTTCCTCTGGCACTATACAGAACACTGGGTCACTGGGTGCTGCAGCCCATTGAGTGATGATAGCCTGTTGCCTTTTAGATGTTACATCACTTTGGCTCAAGCTTTAGGCATGAACATGGGTGGAGCACCTGTGGGACCTGCAGGAACTGGAAAAACTGAAACCATCAAAGACATGGGACGGTGTCTTGGAAAATACGTAGTGGTCTTCAACTGTTCAGACCAGATGGATTTCCGAGGACTTGGGAGGATCTTCAAAGGTAAGATGCGGACCAAAAGTAAGATGTTGGCCAGAGGGGTCCACCGTGTCCTGGGGTGCATTAAGCGTGGTGTAACTAACCAGTCAAAAGAAGTGATTGTCTCACTATACTCAGCATTGGAATGGCCTCACCTCAAGTACTACATGCAGTTTTGGGGTCAACAGTGTGAGAAACATATAAAATACTAGACTGTGTCCAAAGGAGAACAGCAAAGATGGTGAAAGAACTAGAGGGCTTGACTTACGAGGAACAGCTGAGTATACTAGGTTTGTTCAGCTTAGAGAAAAGGAGACCGAGGGGTGCTGTCATTGCTGTCTACAACTTCCTCAGAGGGAGCAGAGATGGAGGTGCTGATCTCTTTTCTCTGGTGTCTGGTGCTAGGACATGGGGGAATGGCTTAAAGCAGCGTCAGGTGAAGTTCAGACTGGATATCAGGAAAATGTTATTCACTGAGAGCATGGTCAAGCACTGGAACAAGCTCCCCGAGGAAGTCGTCAGGGCCCCAAGCCTGTCGGTGTTCAAGTAGTGTTTGGACAACACTCTTGGATATATGGTTTAACTTTTAGGTAGCCCTGTATGGAGTCAGGAGTTGGACTTGATGATCCTCATGAGTCCTTTACAACTCAGGATATTCTGTGATTATATGATTCTATGGACTATGTGAAAGTTACAAATGGTAAGAGAACATCTTTATAAAACAAGGTCAACACATAATCAGCAGGTGGTTTTCAGCCTTTTAATAAAAGCAAGTAATTAGTATCTTCTTATGAATGAAAAAATACTTTTGCAACACTGTCTCCAAGAAATAGAGATGTCTGAAAACATAAGACAATTTATGAAAGGATACATAAAGACACTTAAAATAATCAAGGAGGACTGCCAGTACAAAAAGAAAAAGCTGTGAAATTTGTTGCTGAACTGGTGGAATGTATTGGATTTTGATTTCAGTATTTTGTCTCCTTCAAATATCAAAGTTCTTATCAGCTGAAGGAAGTGCATGAATAGTGCTTTATATGTTAAAAACAATTCGCATAGCTCACGGAAGTTAGATGCAGATGACTTTTTTTAGGGTCCTGAAATTGATACCTGTCAGTCAGGGCAGATGTCAAATTAGAGATCAAGCGGAGGTCCTTGAATATTGTGTTGTTGCAAGTGACTGTGTTGATGATTTTTTGTTTTCATTTTCCCCAAAATATCTGAGGAAGAATGTGGTTCTGACCCCTAACTTCTGTCCAGGTGAAAGCAACTTTATTGTTCATTTTAACCTGTGCAGTAAACTATTGACAACCCATCATATTTGCATAGACTTATTGCAGGGATTTTTGGGGGTGGGGAGAGAGGAACAGGAGAACATTCAAGATACTGAGAGAAAGAGCAGAAATCAAAGGATATAGTATCCTAGACAAACTTGAGGACTTTGGGAACTTTGTGAATTCTTGCTTGAAAAAGAAATTAAACTTTTCTCCTTGTCCCTTTCCCAACCCACAAAAATAAACATTTTTTTTTTTCCTGAGATAGATTAACCTGAGTTTTGGCTTTTGAATTGCACCAAAAAACGGTTAACAACATAATGGTCAGATGCTCAGTTGCTTTTCTCTTTGAAGGTCTTGCTCAGTCTGGCTCCTGGGGTTGCTTTGATGAATTCAATCGTATTGATTTACCAGTATTATCAGTAGCTGCACAGCAAATTGCAATTGTGTTGACATGTAAGAAGGAACGTAAAAAAGCCTTTATTTTTACTGATGGAGATAATGTGGAAATGAACCCAGAATTTGGCATCTTTCTTACTATGGTAGGTATTAAGTAGGTTTCTAACACGCCAGTGATGATTGTACAATAATTGCTCCTAACTTGGTATGTTAAATTCACTTGCTAACTCTTAGGTCACTGAGCTCCTAGAACTCACTGACAGTTTGAGAACATTGGGCATCACTACAAAGACAGTTTTCGGGGTCTTGTTTCAATGATGTCAAGCACATGTGGTTAACAAATGCAGCCAGCATTGTAAATACAAGTTATTATCTCAATGTCAGATTACTTCTGCATGCTACATTCTGGTTCACAAAGTATGCTTTTTGCTAAAAGTACAGAAAAATGGCTGTGGAGATATAGGTAGAAGTAGCCAGTAAAACAGGATCTGTAAGATGAATGCAGATTCGAAGTTTTTAGGTGGAACTTTTTTCATACCTCATGGATGTAAGAGAGGATAAAATGCTGTAGAGATATGGTGGTAAACCTGCATGGAAATTCATTTTAATATGTGATTTAAAGCCAAAAAGCTATTTTTTGTCTAACCAGATTACATGTTCCTTTGCTGATTCTTCTGTTGGTGCAAGGTACAGTCAACTTCAAAACCTGTTCTTCTCTGCAGAACCCAGGATATGCTGGACGGCAAGAACTACCGGAAAACTTGAAGATCAACTTCCGTTCTGTGGCTATGATGGTTCCTGATCGTCAAATCATAATTCGTGTCAAATTGGCTAGTTGTGGTTTCATTGCTAATGTTGTATTGGCAAGGAAATTCTTTACACTGTACAAGCTGTGTGAAGAACAACTGTCAAAGCAGGTGATGATTTTCACATGAGGAAAAATTATCTTTGGGAAAAACTATATATGATGTCACAAATTATTAGTATCTACGTGAAGAAAATGGAAAGGCTCATCTTCACTAAGTAAGCTAAATGATGCTTGCAGTTTAGTAGCTCAGTCCTCACTGTCCTGGAGGATTAACTCCCGCTACAGGTTGTCTGTAGAAGAATGGGACTGTGATTCAGAGCACTGCTTATTATTAAGATTTAGCTTTAATGAATGCTGATGACTAAGGCAAATAAAAGGCTTATATATTAGTTGGTCTTACAGAGTGGATTGAGAGGCATTGGGTTGGTGCTGCCTGTGTTGTTTAGATGTTTCTCAAATAAAGTCAGTTTCCAATGTGGACAGAAAATTCAAAATAGTACTGCTAGTTTATTTCTTAGTAGTCCTTGGGAACCTTATCTTTGTTCAAAGACTTGTGATTACATTTCTTTTTTCTGTGACACCTTACAATTTTAGTAGATGGTGGTAGAGGTGGGGAATGAAGTTACACATAGTCATACAGCCAAAGACTAGTTGTTGGATGTTGGGAGGCATTTGTGCCACATGTACCACTTCTCATACATATCCATATCTTAAATGATAAATAAGAATGGTTTAATTCCTGTGAACTTGGGGAAAATTTTCCCAAACTTTGCATATCTTCTAGGTGCATTATGATTTTGGCTTGCGGAATATATTGTCAGTGCTACGTACATTAGGAGCAGCAAAAAGAGCAAATCCCACAGATACTGAATCTACCATTGTCATGCGTGTGCTGAGAGACATGAACCTGTCTAAACTAGTAAGTTCTGAGTGCCTGGTAAATTAATTAAACTGCACTTTGGAGCTACATGTTTTTTACAATTTAAATCTGTTAAGGTGGCCACTAGAATATTGGATGTGGCCTTTACACTGAAGATAGCTTGGAAATGTTCATTCTCTGGATGGTCTTGGGTGCTGGTTTTGTCTGAGATAATTATCTCTGCAGTACCTTGGATGGGGCTGGGGAGGGTCTTGGCTACCTACCTGGTTTAAACCACAACACCTTGAATTGTTCAGAAATTTTTTTACATGTTTCCCCTGCTACCTATACAAATAAGTGACCAAATAGAAGTCTGTGTAGTAACCTCTTTAGAACCTTTGACCTCAAATATTTAGTCACTCTTTGGAAATAATGTTATTTGTAGTAATGAGTACCATCTCATCTGTCTTAAATAGCTAACAAAACCTCTTCTGTTGCTGTGATTCTTCATCTCTTTTATTATCTTTTTTTACACCTTAGACAAATAATTTGCTATTTGTAGAAATATTACTGCTAAAATCTACTTGAATAATTTCAGTCTGTATGTTAGTGGTTTATTTTCAATAACTTTTTATTATTGGAAGCATCACATGATCTTCTGCTGTGTCCTGCTAGAGTGTTCAGTACCTAGAGGGTTACCATACATGGTTTCTTATGTTTTCAAATATTTCTTTAGCTCTGCAAGACTTGGGGATTGTTTTTTAAGATGCTAGATTAAATAAAGTAGGTTTTAATCTGTGGGTTTTTCTCCCGCTGATTTTCGCTAGATTGATGAAGATGAACCCTTATTCCTTAGTCTAATTGAAGATCTGTTTCCGGATATCCAGCTTGATAAAGTAGGCTATCCTGAACTGGAAGCTGCCATTGACAAACGGGTAATCTTTCTCTTGATCTGTGCTGCTGTGGCATAACTATAATGATGTGACATCTAAGAAAATTATTGGTGTTGAATCTACCCAGCTGGTAATAATATGTTTTACTATTTAGAGGAAGAGTAAGCTTTTCCATAAATCTTTACCATTGGCATATTATTATTAACATTATTCTTAAGGATGTCACTGAATTGTGATTGTGGTGTCCTGTGGTTTTCTTGTGATCATCTGTGGTGATGAGTTGGAAAAATGCATGTATATACGCTTGCCTTATGTGACTCAGGATTTAGTATTTGTATAAAGTCTAATAATCAGAACATAAGCTTAAGAAAAGAGTTACCTAAAATGACATTTACTCTATTTCATCTGCTGTTAGATCTTTTAGAACATTTCAGTAGGGTCAACTTAAGAACACCAGTGGGATATAGAAGGCTAATGAAGTATGTACACTGAAATGATCACCTCTATTAAACTTTCCTCCAGAATTTCAATAATTATGCAGATAATTATCTAATAGTTAAATAGAGAAGTGAAAAACTCAAAAAACCTGTCCAAAACCCCCCAAAATTAGTAATTTGAAAATCAGAATTGCATTTCTAAAGAATTTGAATATATGACTTTTCATTTACTTATATTTAATATGATGAGTTACAAGTAAAGAGGTCTGCTTCTGGCTTCCCTGACAAGGAAGAGTTGAATCAGCAGCTAATGTTTATAGAACTGTTTTGCTTTCTGTAGTTTTTATAGTTGGCTATAAAAAAGGACTCACAAATTAAGCTTTTATCAGGGGAAACTATAAAGAACTTGAATCTCATGCTTTAAATTGTCATTTCCTAATAAATTAAAAAGAGGTCTTAATAACATGGTCTTCATAGCTGCACTGTTGGTGATCTGTGAAGCCAGACATAGAAAGTGTCAATCCTTTAACAATAAACTATTATCACTTGCTTGTAAGTTCGGTGTAATGTCAGCCCATACTGAAGCAGTGTTGGAAACTTGAAGGGCTTTAGGCACTGTGATTATCTTATGTAAAACAAAATTTGTCAGAAGTTTAGATCTAGGGATCTCATGGTGCTTTTTTAGTGCTAGGACAGTGTTTGGAAATTTTGCTAGCTTATTTTGGCATATTTTTCTCATATCGCTGAAACTTAAAATCTGGAGAAACCAGAAATGGTAAGCTGTCTTGTTTGTCTTGGAAGTGAATCAGGGTTTTATGGAATGGAGCTCTTTGCTGTCTTTTCAGAGCTATCATGACTTGGTACAATGAAAACAGCTAGTTTAGGACAGAATCAAGTTCAAGAGGAATATTTTTATTAGGGCAGGGAGGCAGAAACTTCTTACTTTAATTCAAGTTTTATGTTTATATGTTGTGGGTTGACCCCAGCTGGCAGCTAAGCCAACACCCAGTCACTTCCTCACTTTCCCCCAGCAGACTGGGGAGAGATTCAGAAGGGGAAAAGAGGGGGAAAAAAAAGCTCATGGATCTAGATCAAAACAGTTTAATAAAAGAAGTAAAAAAAGGAAAAGAAACAAGTGATGCAAAAGGTGATCACTCACTACCAGCAGACTGATGCCCAGCCATTCTCTGAGCAATGGCTACTTTGGAGAAACTTTACACCAGTTTTATGGCTAAGCATGACATTATGACTGCAGGGGAAGTGGACTGGATGAGCTTTAAAGGTTCCTTCCAACACAAATTATTCTATGATATGGAGTATCCCTTTGGTCAGTCGGAGTCAGCTGTCCTAGTGGTGTTCCCTCCTGGCCTCTTGCCCACCCCTAGCCTACTTGCTGACGGGACAGTGTGAGAAACAGAGAAGGCCTTGGTGCTGTGCAAGCACAGTTCAGCAATAGCCAAAACACTGATGTGTTATCAACAATGTTTTGATCACAAATCTAAAATGTGACACCCTGTGGGCTACTACAAAGAAAATTAACTCCATCCCAACCAGACCCAGTACATACAGACAACTCCTAACAGAGGATCTTTTGAGAACACGTCATGTCTACTTGGGAACATACTTCTTCTTTTCCCTTAGATATAAAGGAAATACCTAGTCTACACGATTACTATAGGATCCATGAGTGTTAGAAATTGTTAAGAAAAGATGAGTCTCCACTGATGGCATTGGATTAGAGTGAAAGAATAGCTAACATGACCATGTGAAGAAAGAAGCCAGTGGAGATATATTCTGTCGGTGTATCATTAGATTTTGGATATATTACTGTATATATGTGGACTCTGGAAACAAGTCAGAAGGCTATGTTCTATTCTGGAAAGAAAGGCAGCTTGACTGGTTTGGTGTTAACTGTGAGTGCTGTTAAGATGGAAATGATAACAGAATTTTATCATGTATCCATGAAAATGATGTATCTGATGTCTTTGTTGTGCTTTGCAAACTCCATTGCTTCAACAGTGGTGTTTATGGTGATGAGGAGTTGGTGGCAGCGTATAGTTCATGGTTGCTGTTGATGAATTAATCTTGGGCTGGCTTCTATTGGCTTTCTTGCAGAGCGACATAAGTAAGTGGAACTGACATGAGCTTTGATATGTGAATAATACAGCAAGTGGTAGTGCCGGTTCCATGGTTCTAACTGACTACATGACAGTAATTGTAAAGGCTGAGTTTTATCTTATCAGTAAAAAGTTAGTCTTCTTTTTACTGATAATATTTTCTGATTTTTTTTGTGGAACATAATTTAAAAATAGAAATTATACTTGAATTAAAATATAATTGTTATTTTGAAAGCTTCACTTCTATAACTTGATCTTGAGTCTTTAGAAATTTTTTTGACTGTCAAAAACATATAATGTGCTATGAATCCTTAAAAAGTAGTTCTAGCTTTTCTGTACTGCCTAAAAACTTTCTTGTTCACTTTTACGAGCAACAGCAATACCATTATAGTGGGTTAAATTCTTCAAGCTTGGAACTAATAGAAAGTAGTAATCAAGCATATAATAATTGATTGTAAAACAGAATGTCTTTTCTTAGAAGGATAACATTAAGAAGTTACTGAAAGGTCTGTTTGTACACTGAGAAATATTTAGCAAAATGTTTTACAGAAAAACTTTTGGCTGTTGTAAGCATTTAGAAACACAAGTCATCATCATCATAAAAAGGCAACTGTTGAGGCAAATGAAAACACTGGGTAGCTATGAAAGACTTTGCCAGCAGGAGTGTTTCTAAAATTCTTGGCTTTTCCTTAAAAAGATTTTTTAACCCTAAGAAAAGCTAAAAAAAAAAGATGGCTTATTTTCTTTTATTTTTCTGAATACATGAATACCAAATATCCCTTCCTATTTCCAAACAGTTTCTCATATACACAAAATCTTTACAAAGACTGTAGTCCTCTGCTGAAGACTTTTTTCTTTTTAAGCATCAAAGTATCTCGTGCACTAAAATAGTAGAAAATTGGTTTTTTGTCACTGTCTATAGGTGGAGGAAGCTGGACTGGTTTGTCATCCTCCTTGGAAACTGAAAGTTATCCAACTTTTTGAAACCCAGAGAGTAAGGCATGGATTGATGACACTAGGACCTAGTGGTGCAGGAAAAACTGTTTGCATCCACACATTAATGAAAGCCATGACAGGTATGTGAGTATTTATATTGTAAAGTGTTAAACTGTTACATTGTAAACTTTAAACCACGTTCTTTCTTCATGGAAAGCCTCAATTATCTCACTGTGAGAATGTATTGGAGCAGGTCCAGAGGAAGCCACCAAAATGATCAGAGGGGTGGAACACGTCTCCTGTGAAGAAAGGCTGAGGCACTTGGGATTGTTCAGCCTGGAGAAGAGAAGGCTTCAGGGAGTTGTTATTGCAGCCTTCCAGTACTCAAAGGGGGCTTATAGGAAAGATGCAGACAGGCTTTTTAGCAGGGCCTGTAGGCGATAGGACAAGGGGTAATGGTTTTAAACTGAAAGAAGGCAGATTTAGACTAGGTATAAGGAAGAAATTTTTCCCAATGAAGGTGGTGAAACACTGGCACAGGTTGTCCAGAGAGGTGGTCGATGCCCCATCCCTGGAAACATTCAAGGTCAGGTTGGACGGAGCTCTGAGCACCCTGATCTATTTGAAGATGTCCCTGCTCATTGCAGGGGGATTGGACTAGATGACCTTAAAAGATCCCTTCCAACCCAAACTATTCTATGATTCTTTGATTAAAGCACCTCCCAGGTTTGGCTGAGGTAATGCTGAAACCTTCCCCTAATCATAAGTACTTAACCCTTGAACACAATTCACAAGACTTCTATCATTTGTTGCTGCTAGGTGGTTTAGGCAGTGCGAATCTTCAAGGGTAGACAATTTTGTGTCCTGTCTGGATCCTCGAGGACTGTGTGTTTTTGTCCTCTGTATTTCTAAACAAAAATATTAGTGGAAGAACTTCTCTTTGATCCTATTAAACTAAAAGCTCATAGCTGGGAAGAAGAAACATCTCTTTTGAGCTAAGTTTGTGTTACCCCATTTCACAGGCTTTTCCAAAAGTAGGCTGCTTTTCCAGAAATGGATAGTTTCTGTAAAAAATGGTTCAGCCAGTCTCTCGTTCATGCAATACCTTAGTGTGCTTAAGAAACACTGTAAGAAATACTACATTGCAGCATAAATGACTGTTCCATTTAGGAAAAAGCAGAAAGAACAGATAGTTGCATTATAATATTTTCCTATATTTCTGTACCACTGAGATGTGAACTACTACCAAGACCAAACGACCACAATACTTTTTTGAAGCTCATCTTCTGGCATAACCTCATGAAATGTAAAACTATGTGATTTGCCAGACTTCTACCTTAGATGTTAGTGAACTCTAATTATAATTTAAGATTTTAAGACAAGTCATTTTTTTAGCTCTTTCTTACAACATCTTATTACTGGCTCCTGATTAAGTTTTAATATTGGGCTTTCTAAAGATGTCTGGCATAGGAGATTTTAAGCTGTTGTTAATGAGGAAAATATAAAGGTTATATGATCATGGTATGGCTAGCTAGAATTTAACTGCCTAAAAAACTTCACAGGGATATGACAATATCATATACTTTGCCTATTCCAAGATGTATGCAAGTGCACAATGAGGAAAAACAAAAACCAATCAATCGTTTGGAGCATCTGTCTGGTATTCAGTCATTGTATTTTAAAAAAGTGCATCCAAACCAAAGGCTTTAAAGCTCTTGATAAGCCTTCAAAATATTAAACTAAACCTTGAATAAATTTCACCTTGCTGCTCTTCTCTTTCCAATGAAATGTGAATTGTACTTTCACAATTTCAGAGCTTTGTTCTACTTTAAATTTTGATGGCTCCAATTAACAAATATTGATGTATAGCAAGAGATAAGTTTTCCAAGTAAATATATAACTTCTTATGATGGTGAGTGCATATGAAATCATGCATTTAACTGTAATGATTATGAATTTGTCAAAACTCTTTGACTGTTGAAAAGAAATGCCAAAACTAACTCATAATCTGCCTTCATAGATTGTGGACAGCCACATCGTGAAATGAGAATGAATCCTAAAGCTATAACTGCTCCGCAAATGTTTGGTCGTCTTGATGTGGCAACAAATGATTGGACAGATGGAATTTTTTCAACACTTTGGAGAAAAACTTTAAGAGCCAAGAAAGGTATAGTGAAAAACAATTTCCTACAAAACAGAACAAGTTGCAAGGACATCTCTGTAAAGTACATTAGCAACCTTTTTTTTTTGTTTTAACCTTACATGGAAGCATTGGAATATTGCTGCAAGAACTTTTGTTTATTGTATAGTCTCTGTTCCAAATGCTTTGTGTTCAAACTACGTAGTGTAGCAAATACTGTTTCATTGAATTTGCTGATCCCACTCTTTCAATTGATAAGCCCTTGTATGGAAGAAAAGTGGAAGGTAAGTCAGTTCCCCCAGCACTGGTATACTGTAAAAAATTTTGGTGCTGTCAGGGCTTCTACCTGGTCTGCAGCTGCCATACTAGAAAGGTGTGAATCTCCTTTGTCATACCTACTAGCCCTGCACATACTATAGTCCATCTCAAATGGGACTAGATAATTCTATTTAGGCAATCAATTTTTGGCTAAAATAATGTTGGTGTATGTTCTTAGACGACTATATTAACTAAAAGAGAGGCCTTGATGGTTTGATGCTAGATGGATTCTTCCTTGTTTTGTCTGAATATTAGTATGTTACTTTATGATTAGGTCTTAAGGACTAAAAGAAAAAATATACAAGAGAAAATCCTAGTGTTTGTTGCACTGTCAATTTTCATACAAAAATTCTTAATCTTAAAGAATAGATATATATTTACAATAGAAGGTATTTTTGGATTGAATTTTGTTGGTTTTGTTTCAAATCTAGAAATGTAGCACCCTTGAGGACAGAATCACAGAAATCACAGAAACACTAGGTTGGAAAAGACCTTCAAGATCATCAAGTCCAACCATTAATCCAGCGCCACCATGTCCCCTAGACTATGTCCTGAAGCGCCATATCCACACGTTTCTTGAACACTTCCAGAGATGGCGACTCCACCACCTCCCTGGGCAGCCTGTTCCAATACCTGACCACCCTCTCAGTGAAGAAATTTTTCCTAATATTCAATCTAAACCTCCCCTGGCGCAACTTGAGGCCATTTCCTCTTGTCCTATCACTAGTTACTTGGGAGAAGAGGCCAACACCCTCGTCGCCACAACCCCCTTTCAGGTAGTTGTAGTAGAGCGATAAGGTCTCCCCTCAGCCTCCTCTTCTCCAGACTAAACAACCCCAGTTCCCTCAGCCGCTCCTCATAAGACTTGTGCTCCAGACCCCTCACCAGCTTTGTTGCCCTTCTCTGGACACGCTCCAGCATAGCATAGCTATGCTCCAGGACGTAGCATTAACTGTTGATTTTTCTATTTTTCCCCTCAACATGAAATACAAATCAGCACACTCACATGACTTGCACAGATTCACTGTTTGCAAAACTTCTGTAATATCTCCTCATGAAGCAAACTCCAGACTGTCTTATGCCTGAGGTGCCTGCACTGTAGCTATGAAAAGCCTCTAAATATAAAACTATTTGCCTCAGAGGTGAGAAAGTTTCTCATCCAGAACTTTCTTGGTTCATACTTAGCAATGCACCAAGCCACCTAGGCCTAGATAGTAAGGACTCACTCTGAAGGCAGATGAGAGTGGGCCATCTCTGACTAAAGGGCTGTCTAGCAATGCACAGGAGGACTGGCTGCTCCATGAGGTATGGGGAGCCAGAAGCCAAGAGCATATCCCTTTCCAGCCAGGGCCTCTTGCTCAGTACCCAAGTGAGGCGAGCAGGACAGACCCAGACCCTCCTAGGAAACAGAGATAGGCTTTAGGATACTTTTCTGTTGCTAAATGGAAAGAGCTGGAAAAAATTTAAAAGGAGCTGGATCAAGTTTGCAAGTAGGAGAACGGACAACAAGAATCTTCCCCTAATGAACCTCTTTTACTTATGAAAGTGAACATGCTATTTGAAAGAGTGATTTTTCAAGTGTTCCTTTCATTGAATCTCACTACATTTATACAAACTCTTTGGAAACGAATGGTGGTTTTAAATAGATCTATAGTTTCTATCCTCTTCATATTGTTTTATGTGAGTTGAAGTAAACTTTGTATTACTATGTTGAAGACTGGATCCATAAAACTGTTTTAGACTATTACAAACTGATGACTTATGCTGGTGACACTTCATATATTGAGCAATGGATAATTACTGTCAATAGATGACAAAATGAAGTACTCAATTGAAATTGAGTGATGGAAATGTATACTTGTATTATAAAGCTGAGATTCTAGTTGTGTGCATGAATTCAGAATTAGTTCAAAATTTGTTTGCAGAGGTAAGAAACTGATCCTGGAAATAAACTAGAACTTCCTCTGTAGGCACTTATATCTGTTATTTTTTGTTACAGGTGACCACATCTGGATAGTTCTTGATGGCCCAGTTGATGCTATTTGGATTGAGAACCTTAATTCTGTCCTGGATGATAACAGAACTCTAACGCTAGCAAATGGAGATCGGATACCTATGGCACCAAATTGCAAAATAGTCTTTGAACCTCATAATATTGATAACGCTTCTCCAGCAACAGTTTCAAGGAATGGCATGGTATTCATGAGCTCATCAGTTCTCAACTGGAGCCCTATCCTTGAGGTACAATAGCTAAGTGATTGTTTATGTATTGAAAGTTTTACTGGTTACTTACTCAACACTGAACACTTTTTATTTTAGGACCTAATTTTGTGACTTTTGCTATGAAATCGCTTTTACACTGTACAAACTTGTAGGTCAGTATTTATGTGGTGGGTTGACCTTGGCTGGATGCCACGTGCTACCAAGCCTCTCTATCACTCCCCTTCTCAGCAGGACAGTGGGGAGAAACTAGGATGGAAAGAAAAAAAAGAAAACCAACCCAAACACATGGGTCAAGATAAAGGCAGTTTAATAAGCAGAAAGCAAAAGCTGCATGTGGAAGCAAAAGAAAACAAAAGATTGACTCTCTACTTCCCATCAGCAGGAGATGTCCAGCCACTTCCTGGGAAGCAGGGCTTCAGTACGTGCAGCAGTTGCTCCAGAAGACAAACATTGGAAAATGAATGCCCCCCCTTCCTCCTCCTTTCTCTTCGCTTTTATTGCTGAGCTGACATCATATGGTGTGGAATACCCCTTTGGCCAGTCTGGGTCAGCTGTCCTGGCTGTGTCCTCTCCCGGGATCTTGCCCAGCCCCAGCCTGCTGGTGAGGGGGAATGTTGGAGAGACAGCCTGGGTGCTGTGAGCACTGCCCGGCAGCAGCCAAATGCTGGTGTGCCACCGACACCTCTCTGGCTACCGGGACACAGCACAGCACTAGGAGGGCTGCTCTGGGGAAATTAACTCCACCTCAGCCAGACCAAATACAATTTAATATAGCAATGTTTCTGGCAGTTTATAAAAGAGTAAATAATGAACTTTTTCAGGAACATAATCAGCACATTACACCTTTAAAAACATGGATATTTCACTTTGGGACAAACCTGTAATTGAAGGTATTTTATACAATAGAAGAACAACTCAGTTATCAAAATACTGCTAACTACCTGGCAGCCCTTAGTGCAGCTTCAGAACAAGGAAGAAGAAAGAGTAAGCAGGCTGATTCATGAATCTAGGAATCCTCAAGAAAATACAAATTCTTTTGGTATTTCTTGAAATTAATTGCAGCTGGGATTTAGAACCAAAAATAAAGTCAATGCGGCATCAAAGTATGTAATTTTAAAATTGATCTTCTTACCTGCTTAAGTTGTCTGTTAACATTTCTAGAAGCAAAATGTTTGAAGAATTAATCAGTGTTTACACTTGTGTTTACACAGTGTTTACTCTCTCTCTGGCATGAGATGAATAATTTAGAAAAACAGAGCATGTTATAGGTGTATTGTGGAGGGAAGAACAGCATTTAATATATTTAAATTTCAAAGTGACGATAAAGTGAGCTTTTTCTTGTATATGTCATATTTTATCTTCCAAAAATGAGAAAAAATAAATCCTTATCTTGAATGAATGCTGGTAATGAAAGAGTGAATGATACATTTAGAGACTTGAGCATACTATTTTTTTTAATGTAGCAAATAAATTGGTAAAGATGAAGTATAAGAGTTCCCAAGAATTTACCTAATGTTCTGTAGTAGTATCTTTCAACAAAACTTTCAGCATTTAATTCCAGTTTTCTTTCATTTTAAGAAAACAATAGAGTCAATAACAGTAAAAAAAAGTTGGCTTCTGATTTTTTTTTTTATTCTTAAACCCTGTATTGTCTTAGAAATTTATCGGTGAAATAGGCTCCTCAGGATTAACACTTTTAAAAAATTTAAATTAAAAGAAATACTAATTTATTTTCTCTTTATTTTTTCTTGTCTAGTCTGTCTGAGAGAGAATATTTTGTTGATGTTATTTTGCTTTGATGAAACATGGATTGTCTCACGAGCATCAAAAACTAAAATTTTCTTCCTTGTGGCTAAAACACTGATTCCTGTGATTATAGAGATAATTCCTTTATTACTTTCTCCTGAAAACCAGGTTAATAGACCTTTCTTTTGTATAATCCCAAATTAATGTTCCTTTACATGGGCTTTAAACTTTAATTTTAAGCTAGGAATAATTTTGTCTTCCTGTTTATGAAATTAGATCATACAGGCCATTGTAACGTGTTTATCCCCCTGTTTGCAGACTCAACAGAACAAAACTTCACAGATTACTATGAGTTGTCAGACTGGCTTTTAATGTCCTCCATTCTAGAAAGTATCACATTAAGAAGTTTTTTTTTCCAATAATTTTTAAAATGAATGTTTCACAGTGTCATTTCACTCATTTCATTTTCCAGATCAAATAGAATACCTGTAGAAAATACAATTAATGCTCATGTAGGCAGTGTTGCTTAACTAGCTAGATGAAAATACAGTTGGCTTCTTACTAACTTTCAGATTGAGGAAACTTTTTATAATGATTACTCTGTGCTATTCTCAGATTTCATATTGTTTTAACCCATAAAGCTTCTCATGCTTGTAAATCTTTATATAGCTTGCTTTTTTATAACAAGATTCCTTGTCTGTAAATCCCTGATTTGTCTGGCAATGGAGAAGTTGACATGACATGTAGCATGGTCTGTGGCACTGCCTAGAGCAACCATCCTTGGTGTATTAGAGGCTTCAGCACAGATGGAAATCAGGAGCAAGACAGTATGCTGCTGTGCGAGCCTCTTCCTGGGGGCTGGAGGCAGGGGGAGCCCCCCCACCCCGGGGAAAGTGTGCCCTGAGCATGGAGGATGAAGGAGCTGTGGGAAGGGGTGAGAAGGCTTGTGTGCCTTCAGGGAAAATAAAAAGATCAGCGAGATCTTCGCAGAGACACTGCAGACTCAAGATCCCTAGCTCTGTAATGGGAGAGTGAGAGAATGCATTCAAAGCTTTGGTGAACAGAAACTATCAAGATGAGGAAGGCTTGTCATTTCTGTAGTTTCTACCAGTACTTCTACTACAGTAAACTTGTAGTTTCTGGCAACAGCCGCTAGGTTTCTTTTCCACTTGCGGATCTGAAATGGCAGGTCATGTGTAATGCCTGGAGAATAGGTGAGGAGCAGTAAGATTCTCTAGGGGAGGCATCAGAACCC